AAATCTAAAGCGTTAGCCTTTTATAATTATTTGCCAACAAAATTTTAAATTGACGGCTTAAGTCGCACGACATCGGTATTCACGTACTCTTGTGAGTGTAAAAAAGTATTTTGATATGATTAGCAACAGTGTTGTAGTTATCGATTTTGTGTCAAAGCGATTTAACAAAATGTGAATATTTTACTTTTCTACGTTATTTTGTTTGTTCTTTTTTATAATACAAGATTGTAGGTATATCTTTGTAGGTACTTATGTAAGGTATAATTCATGATCAAAATTTTCCTTAACGATTATCACGAGTAAAAGTATAAAGCCTCCTAAAAAGATTAACAATTCTGGATTCAATGGGAATGAGTAAGTATAAGATCAATTTTGCACTTTTGGAATTACGAATTCCCTGGAGACAAAAAGTTAGATTCTTATAAAAGTTTTCCGGGAATTTTCAGTAAAAATGCTTTAAAAATGTAGGTAAATCGAATTAAAGGTTTATTCTTCCAGAGTAAGACAGAGCTATGGCAATGAAAATGTTTAATTCTTAGATCAACTAACGTCAGTATTTTGCATGACATTGTAATTAGGCATGTTCACTATCGTACAAAAACATTTTATTTTTCCACCATTTCGTTAAGCGTCCTATCGAAAATTAGTATGAGAACCCTCTTTGTGCACCCGTGCGTATTAGCGGAGGCCCTAAGTAATTTATCATCATCACCAAGTCATTTGTTCTCCACTGCAGGTCCGCAAACCTCTCCATTTACCTTAAAATTAAAGGGTAAATACCACAAATATCTCGTATTTACTCGTCAATTCGTCGATAATGCTAATCGCCTTCCAGCCGGCCATAACTCAAGCGATCCCACACGTCGCGCCCCGTGTCTTGCTGATCCCCCTGATTGGATCACGATGTGACGCTGATCAACTATCCCGAGATGTATTTGTCACTACCCGATACCCGGATTTAAGCAAATTCGAGCAAGGTAATTTCAGAGCTGCGATATCGCCAAAATTAATCTAGCCTCTCGGTAAGTCCGGCCTACATTACTTGGCAATTTATGCACTCGTTGCGTCGCGCAAACTAGGACGGTATAAATTAGTTATTTTGCGAAGGCATTAAACGTTTTCGTAATTCGCGCTCCCTAAGCTGGGATAAGCTGGGTGGATTGACACGTTATTCGGTCTCTATCAACTTCGTGCGAAGCGATTTTCTAATTGTTCTATAGCTATCGCTACTACGATACGATACTATTAGTATGATGTATAGACGGTATATGAAGGTAAATACTGAGATATTTACTTGTACTATATACTTGATGAAATTGTTAAAACAAATCTAAAAGACTGATACTTTTAATAAAGTTAAAAAATCTCTAAAAATAAATATCTTGCTTAGTCTAAACACACCTCAGGCAAAATACAAGGCGTATAATTGACCAAAGGCATTAATTAAGAAGTTATTAATACATTGATTAAAATCTGATACTTGAGGTCCTTTGAGAGATCGTTAATTAATTTGAAGGGGCTTTGTACAATATCTCTGAAGCCATATCTATTCATGAATCGTTACGAAAATTTTATACACAAAATGTACTTGGAAATCGAAGCCAAAATTGTTAGCTACTTTAAAACTAAAACATCTTATCTTTTATCAATTAAGGTAAACTATCATATAATCAATTCGTAAATATTATAATCCCTTATATGGATTAAATGATGTAAATAAATTGATGATTCCGTACAAAAATAAATTATTAATTATAGTAATGGATCGTATGAGTGTAGTAACAAGTGCGAATACAATCACAAAATTCTTCAATTGATTATGAACTATAATGTTAAAGAGTTAAAGTTCTGAGTTCCAGGGCATCGTCCTATGATTGTAGGTTGACCTGCTAGCGTCAGGGCATGTTCATTTGATAAAATTATCTTATTATAAACTAGCTTTCCGCCCGCAGCTTCGCCCGCGTGGAATTTTGTCTGTCACAGAAAACTTTATCGCGCGCGTCCCTGTTACAAAAACCGGGATAAAAACTATCCTATGTCCTTTCCCGGGACGCAAAGTATCTCTATGCCAAATTTCATCAAAATCGGCTCAGTGGTTTAGGCGTGAAAGAGAGACAGACAGACAGACAGAGTTACTTTCGCATTTATAATAATAAAGTATAGATTGGTATTAATCCATCCAAGTTGATGACCATCTAACAACATCGTTTACATCCGTATTCACAAACGATGCTTGCATAAGTTAAGCAGCAAATCGAGCGCACAGCGTTGAATAGAGTGTGATTGGTTCGTGTGTCACCCTGTGCGTCCACGCGCGCTGTGAGACCTCATAGTAATGTTTGTGAATACGGGCGTTAGACTTCGTTAAAACCAGTACAGTCAGCCGTTGTTTAAACAAATTGGAATCCGATCTACATTTAAATTCTCGATTACGCAAACATCACTGCTCGACGTCCCCTGTGACACATAATTACCCTGGCTCATGTTGATTACACAATATTTCGTTGCCAGATAAATCTGTTACGCGAATCGGGTACTGGGTGCCTACCATGAGTTTACGTTAGGTGTGCTCGCTAGCGACTGCGTAAAAAAATGACATTTAAATGTATGACATATTGTGCAGCGCCCCTAGCGGCTACTTTCAAGAAATAAAATCTTCATAGAATCTTTTGACGTATTCGCTAGCGAGCTCACATAACGTAAACTCATGGTAGGCACACAGTTCGCTTTTACTGTCAAATCTATTGCAAATCGTTCGTTCATTCGTTCGTTTCAGCCAAACGACGTCCACTGCTGGACAAGGCCTCCCCCAAGGATTTCCATAGCGACCGGTCTTGCGCTGCCCGCATCCAGGTTTTTCCCGCGACCTTCACCAGATCGTCGGTCCACCTAGTGGGAGGCCTGCCCACGCTACGTCTTCCGGCCCGTGGTCGTCACTCGAGAACTTTTCTGCCCCAACGGCCATCGTCTCTACAAGCTATGTGCCCCGCCCTCTGTCACTTGATTTTAGCAATTCTGCGAGCTATGTTGGTCACTTTGGTTCTCATACGGATCTCCTTATTTCTGATTCCATCACGCCGGGATCGTGCAATCCATTGCAAATACTTTTAATTAATATGCTTACACCCGAAAACAGTTGAAAACACGACTAGCATTTGTTATTCGGATTCTAAAATAAAAGGAGACTGTTTATGTTACCATGCAACAATATCTACCAAAATAGCTCCAATACGAAATAACTAAAATAGACAAATACAAAGAGAACCACAGTCAATATTATTTGTATCTAAGTGCCCTCAAAAGGGCCTACCTACCTTAATAAAGTTTTGAATATTAATATCGAACCATAAATAAATCTATAGATATTTCTGTAACATACGTAGGTATATTTGTTGCATGCTTTCACTTGTTTGTAGAATGTTAATTGGGTGCTTAGTCAATTTTTAGGAGCTGTCTAAGTACTATTTACATATTTTACCAGATTTATTTATCGGATTTTCACATTAATTGGTTGGTTTGTTATTAAAGCCTGAAACGAAGCGTTCTTTTTATTTTAAGTTGTGCTTTGGCATTATTTGCTTAGTTTCAGACAACTACTCATTTTACTAGTATTCGTAGTAGAACATAACTGCGTTTCCACGCAACTCCAAAAATATTTGCAACATATTTTATTTAGTTACTGTACATATTATTTTGCGCCAAAACATATTCTATTAAATCTTGCAATGTGCTACACGAGCCAAAGCTTCATATTGGTTTCCAGAAAAACTGCGTACAGTTTTTGTTACTTACTTACTAAATGCCCGTGGGTTCGGTTGATGGATATATCGCTACGATTCGGTATCGAAAGCATGTCAAGACTAGGGTTGACACTTCAGATGGAAATTAATAACTCGTTCTCTCGTTTCAGCCAAATGACGTCCACTACTGGACAAAAGAAATTAATAACAGTCTTTCACAAATGTCAAATAGATAGGCAAAAGCAGAAAATACTTACTTACAAAAATAAAATGTATGAAATAATTATTCTGTAGTCAAAATCGTTGTAACTAAGGTACCTAAATGGCAATTTAAAAACACTGCTTGATTCGTATGATAAATAAATGAATCTACATTACAATAACATTGTTTTCATCTTCGCTGGAACGTTCACGTTATACAAGTAGCCTTTATTGCGCTTCTTACTGTCACAAACAAAACTTCATTATGTTAAAAATTCTAACTACCTATTTCGAAACGCTATTTATTGTACGTCAGATGATATTTAATCATTCTCTATACTTATCGTTGATTATCCTTATGCTAGAACCCTTGACTTGTTACTGTTGACATAAAAACATTATTAATAGGTCATGCACAGTGCTAGTCGTCACTAAACCATGTTTTCTTTTGTTTTATATTTCATTTTTTTTAAGTACTTTTTGATCATTATATTTTAAGAAAACCACACCGCCAACCCTACATAGTGAGTGAGCGTTACGAGTACATACAGCTATCCAGGCGACGGCGTACGATGCATACATCAATCAGTCCAGAACCTTCGATCTGGAGTTGATCAACATGGTCCCTCTGCCATTTATTACCTATTGCCGGACTAACAATACTGGCAAATAAGATGTATCGGTTCTGTCAATACTCCTATGTGAGACTGAAAGGAATACCGGTTGTTAGAATTTGTTTGTTAGTTACCTACCTTACGCCCGTATTCATAAACGATGCTTGCTTAAGTGAAGCAGCAAATCGAACGCACAGCGTTGAATAAAGCTCTGTGATTAGTTCGTGTGTGACCCTGTGCGTCCACGCGCACTGGGAGACTCACAGTAATGTTTGTGAATACGATCGTATGATGCGTATTACCACAGAATAAGTAATAGTANCGGCGCCTTCCTGGCCGCCGGCAGCGCCGACCACCACGTGCGGCTGTACGCCGTGCGCCGCGAGCCCGGCGGCCCGCGCCGGGTGAGTGTAGCCCGGGAGCCTTCCTTGTAGCTCACACACAGTAGCGCGGCCCATGGTCTGCGCGGCGTGGTCGGCGGGCGGCGCCTTCCTGGCCGCCGGCAGCGCCGACCACCACGTGCGGCTGTACGCCGTGCGCCGCGAGCCCGGCGGCCCGCGCCGGGTGAGTGTAGCCCGGGAGCCTTCCTTGTAGCTCACACACAGTAGCGCGGCCCATGATCTGCGCGGCGTGGTCGGCGGGTCTCCCTTGTAGCCCTCCACGACTCCCCTGTAGACCCTCAAGCCTCCCCTGTAATCTCCCACACTTTCCCTGTAACCTCCCACGCTTGCCCTGTGACCCTCATGCTTTCCGTGTAACCCCACTCACTTTCCCTGTAATCCTCACGCTTACCCTATAAATCTCCACTTCTTCCCTGTAACCCCCACGCTTACCCTGGAATCTCGTACGCCTCTCCTGTAACCTCCGATGCTTTCCCTGTAACGCCACGCCTTCCCTGTAACTTCACACGCTTGCCCTGTAAACCCTCGCTTCTTCCCTGTAACCTTCCATGTAACTCCCACACTTTCCCTGTAACCTCACACGCTTTCCCGGTAACCCCCACGTTTTCCTTGTAACCCCTACATTTTCTTTGTAACCCCCATGCTTTCCCTGTAATCTTCCACGCTTTCCTTATAAACCTTCTGCACTTTCCCTGTAACCTCCCACATTTTCCCTGTAACCTCCCACGCTTTCCCTGTATCCCCCACGCCTCCCTTATATCCCCCCTCATATATCAGTATCTTTGTAAGCTAAAATGTGAGCTGTAAGCTGATGATAATGATGAGCATCAAATAATGAAGCGCTTAAACCCCGCAGGTGCTGGAGACGGCGGTTCATAATGACGCGGTGGACAGCATCGCCTGGGCGCACAGGGGGCTGCGGTTCGTCTCGGGCAGCAAAGACGGTATGTGCTTTTAGTTACGAACACTATCTAAAGTGGGAAGATTATACCAGAAGGTTTTTCCCTCTTTGAAAGTGTTTGTTACCAAATCTCTTTATAGTGAGAAGATGTTGTGTGACCTTGTAGAACGCCAGTGATAAAAATATGTCGGGATAAAGTGACTGGGCTGCCTATGGCTGTAGCGTATCCAATGAAAAGGAGTTGAATGGTTTTCGGATGGAGACCACATCTTGGCAAGCAACTGTAGGGACTACTGTTCGATGTACCGTCAACGACCTAGAAGATAGTTGGCAGTGTGTTGATGAATAAAGCGGGAGCTTGTGCTTTGTGGTGTTCCTTCAGCGACAATGTGTACGCTCAGCAACTGACAGGCATTTAAAAACGATGATGAAAACTTAATCAATTTGTACGCAGGTACGGCTGCGTTGTGGACGCTACACGCCACTCAATGGCGCCACGCGTTGTTGCTGCCGCAATCCACCGCCGCCGACGGCAAGCGGCTCAAGGTATGTGTCACACAAATAAATAAAAAAACATTTGTTTTTGCAAATAGGCTTTTAAAAAGCACTTTTGAACGTCCCAGTATCAACCCTACCACTCCTTCGGGACAATAAATGGGCCAGTACAAATGCAAACACAATCCACAGACCAGTTGGTATTTGACGCTTTAGTCAAAGCCATCTGTGAGTGACAATTTAAGTCCGTGCTGTATTTACTCAGAAAAGCCTTCATTTTGCAGGTGACGATGGTTTGTTGGGACTGCAGCGATGAGTACGTCATCACGGCTGTTTCAGACAACACGATACGAGTAAGTCTGTTATGTATTTGTGCTCTATGTCAAGGGTCCCTAATCTTTTTCATCCCGCGGCGCACTTACAAAATTTTAGTATTTTGTCACGGCCTTACCCTTTAAAAAAGATACAGTCAACAGACAGGCGGGTAAAGACGTGGGATAGCTTGGACTTCAACGGTTTTTAAGCGCCAACGCAACGCAAAGGATTGGCGCCTCTTGTTACTTACTTTCAGCGCACACTTTGGGAGCCTTTGCCCTAATGTGTGCTTTACTTCATGTTTGCTTGATAAATGTTGTTTTCGTGCATCGGTTGCAGATGGACGTGCCATCTGCAATTATTGTATAATTTTCACAATACAGTCTATAAATCTGTGTCAGAATAAATTTGTGTCAGCGTATGTCCGTCATGCACGCTTTGACACGCTTACTAAGTGTTACAGTGTTGTTTACTGAATTGTAACAAAACAATGGATAGTCCCTTCAATAGAAGTACAATGACTAGCCGAAGCCCGCCTCCACCGCAGAGAAGATCAACTGAGGGAGCTTCAACCCCCACACCATCAGTCGTCGAGGTTGTATCAACCCATGAAATCCAGCAATGGATATCATCCATTGAACTATGCCTTAACGAAATATGCAATGTATCAGCAGAAGGCAAACTGAACTCGGACCAGAAACTGAGAATCAGCAACAACAGCAGAAAAGTGATAAGCGGCGTGTCTCAACTAGCTGTGCAATATCAGTCCTTGAAACAAAAATACATATCAGCTCAAACAATCATCAATACTTTAACTGAACAAAGGGAGTCATCTGCCCAACTAGAAGATCAGATCGAGGATCTAAAAGCCTGCATTCGCTCTGCCCCAAAGGCACAACAACCGAACGTATCTTTTGCTGACGTAGTGAGAACAAGTAAGAGCACTATAGCAAGACCACCAAGCACCAGTAGTATAGCCGTTTACCCAGCAAGCAAGGATANTTCTAAGAATTATTGATTACCTACATGTCAAACATACCTTTCAGCATCTTTGGGAAGCGAAAAAAAAATCCGGTAGATTTCTTTTCGAATTTAAACACCCGAACGCCGCACAATATTTCTTTCTCTTTATGTCCATTTTTAAATAATACTTCGATCATAGAATTAGGTACTACAACGCACGCCAGCGTCCTGACGGGCGAGCGGGTGACACTCGACTGATATAATACCCGCCGGCGGGGCGCTTCGCTGTAGGTAATTATCGGATGTACCGCGCGGAGTGAGCCAGGCCTGGTATTACAGAAGAAATTATAAAACTTGACTCATTTCAAGAATAGATTGAGGCTTTCTACTGGTCCAATACCAAAATTTGGACACAGGACAGAATATATGACTGAAATGGAGTTTTGGATGTTGTTTTGTATTGTGGATCTATTAAAGAGTTTCTTATCATCCTTCCTTCAGCCATTTGCTGTCCATTTCAGGATGACGCAAAAAACACAATCTTATTTTTCTTCTAGTTACTGTTAGCTGTGTTAGCCAGTCCATCGAGTTAGGTTAGTCAGTCCATTAAATTGAGCCGTGTAGAACTAGGTCTCGTACTTTTACTGGTGCTTGGTAGGTTATTTTTGGAAGTTATATTGTTGGACGTCAGTTTAATAACAATGAAGTTCCTCTGGTTGACAAGAAATCACGCATACAATAAGTTACCGCAAAAATTTTGGAAAACTCAAAAATCGCCCATTATAACAAATAAAACGCACATTCAAAGCAGTGCATGTTTCCCTCAAATAAAAGCTCATATTCACAAGTAGGATTGAATTGACTTATGAACTGCACGTTCAGACCGACGAAACTTTTTATAGAAAACAACAATAACACCGCATTGAAACGGAAAAAAACACTGAAAACTCCATGGCGCAGCTCTCGATTCATAAACTTCGTATACGTACCACTGTTTTATGTCAACCTCATTTGCTGAACACATTTAGTCGTCAGTTTCAATTTAGTTTCATTTCAAAAGTTTGTGAGTTGGTCGGATAATATTATCTACAAAAAGCAATAGTGCCTTAGAGAGCTTTTATTCTCTCATTTTAGCTAAGTCCATATAAATTTCTGTAGGAAACGAGAGATATATTGTATTATTTTACGCTATGTTATTTTCCGGTGACAAATATAATACGGCGTCAATTGTTGGACAAAGGCCTGTCCGAGTTGCACTCTCCTCTGAAGGTCTCTACGCTCTAAGGCATTGGTTCCCAAAGTGGGGGGCGCGCCCCCCAGGGAAGGCGCAAAGACCTTTAAAGGGGGGCGCGGGTCATTTGTGTACTTAAGTATAAAAAACCTGCGACCGCTGAGAGAATGCATTCCAGACTGCTCGATACGACCAGTTAAATAATCTTGACTGGAGGACCCGGGCGCGGATTTTTTTGGATGGTCGAAAGGGGGCGCGTCTCAAATAAGTTCGGGAACCAATACTCTAAGGACTCTCCGCTCAAAGTTGTTAACGATTAGGTATGTGTACCTGTGGCACTTTAGAAAACTACACACATCCAAATAAGTTTTACATTTAATCATCAATACTTTAACTGAACAAAGGGAGTCATCTGCCCAACTAGAAGATCAGATCGAGGATCTAAAAGCCTGCATTCGCTCTGCACCAAAGGCACAACAACCGAACGTATCTTTTGCTGACGTAGTGAGAACAAGTAAGAGCACTATAGCAAGACCACCAAGCACCAGTAGTATAGCCGTTTACCCAGCAAGCAAGGATAAAACGAGCGAAGAGACAAAGGAACTAATTCAGTCAATCATCAAGCCGAACGAATTGAAACTTCATATCCGAGGGATGAGAAAAACCAGGGGAGGAGGTATTATAATCAGCGCTGAAGGCAAANGGGGAGGAGGTATCATAATCAGCGCTGAAGGCAAAAATGATCTTGAGAAGCTGAGAAAGTCAGAACTTCTGAAAACTTCAGGTCTCAAAGTCGAAGAGTCCACGAAACGGAAGCCTAAGGTGATATTGCTAGGAGTACCCACCAATACAACAGACAAGGACGTTTTTCAATGTCTGTATGAGCAAAACATCGCGGGTAAATATCAACACATGGACCACAGTAAGTTCTCAAGCTCCATAAAACTGAGCCACAAAACTGGCAAAAAAGACGGTCCCTACTGCAATTATGTCTTAGAACTCACCTCTGAACTAAGAAAAATCCTCATAGAACAGGAGAGAGCCTACATAAATTGGACCTCTTGCCCAGTCAGAGACTACACACTTGTAACCAGATGTTACAAGTGTCAACAATATGGACACTCGGCGAAGTTTTGTAGAGAATCATCGTCCACCTGCGGGCACTGTGGCTTGCGCTGGGCATTCAATCAAAGAATGCTCAAAATTAGAAGAACCTGCGACCTGTGCCACGTGCCGGCGTTTTAACAAACCAAGCCAGCATAAAACGGGAGAAGAGAGCTGCCCTGCCAGGAAAATCGCTGAAGCAAGATACTTAAGTTCAATTGACTATGAGGGCGCCTAGAGCGCCACAAAGGCCAGTATAGGCAGGACAAGGATGGGTAAAGTAACTCTTGATTTATATAACGAATTAGATTCTTCGTATGAGTATGAATCACGAATATGTGACCCTCACTCGTGTTCCTCGTACATTAGTAATATTAAGCATAGTCATAATATTTTCTTTCAGAACATTCGTAGCATTAACTGTAATTTTGATGGCTTGTTAACGTTACTCAGTCAAATAGAAGTCAACATTGATATCATAGTTTTAACTGAATGCTGGTTATCCTCAGCACCTTCTATTCCTCAAATACCTGGGTACCAATCGCACTCTACTAACAAAACTAATGTATTGCAAAACGACGGTGTCACTTTGTACATAAAAAGTAACATATGCAATTTAACTGTAGAGGAACCTGACTTTTTAGATGCCAACTGCCTCATCACAAAGATAAAAAATGACACCGCGATAGTTGCTATATATCGCTCTCCCTCTAATCATAATATTACTAACTTCTTAGAATCACTTAGTGTAATTTTAGAACAATTAACCTCCTTTAAAAATGTATTTGTTGTGGGAGACATAAATATCGATATTAAGCCCGGGAATGTGGACCGCAATGCCTCGGAATACCTTACCCTTACAGCATTCTTAGGGTACCTACCTACACATTTACATCCGACTAGAAAAGATAATTGCTTAGATCATATTTTAGCTAAGACTAACATCCCAATAAAAACTTTCGTACTAAACTCAACCTTGACTGACCATAGTTCCTTGTTGCTGTGTCTGCAACGGCGCTACGAAAAAACCTACGCAATAGTTAAACGCTCAAAATTGCATTATGAAACTGTGACACATGATCTAGATAACCTAGATCTGAGTCCTATATACCAAACACATGATATTAATAATGCGACTGAATATCTTATATCATCCTTAACAAAGATAATTAAGACTAATACACGCACTGTTGTATCTAAACGACGTAATAAAGTCCTTAAGCCGTGGATAACTCCTGGACTCTTACGTTGTATAAGACACCGCGATAAACTCCACATACAATCCAGACAAAATCCCGAAAATGAAAATCATAAAGTAATCTACTACAGATACCGGAATTTTTGTAATAATTTACTAAAAAAGTTAAAACGGCAATATGAAAAGACTCAAATCTATAATGCAGGTCATGACAAAAAGAAATTGTGGAAAGTCATCAAAAACATTACTAATACAACTAAAAATAAATCGTCCGCTCAGCAACTCATCGCTAATTCTGCTTCTGCTGCACATTCCATTGATAGTGTAAACGGTTTCTTTGTCAATATTGGCAAAAATTTAGCGGAAAAAGCTAAAAACAGTCTCACTCAACCTATTTCCTACACCAAGTATCTTCCTAAATTACCTGTTTTAAACTCATTTGCCCTACTTGACACTGACGAAGCCGAAGTTGAACAACTCATCATGTCTCTAAGAAATGACTGTGCCACAGGAATTGATAACATATCTTGCTCATTTCTTAAACAGTTCAAAAAGCATCTTATTCCTCCGCTTACATATATTTTCAATAAATGTCTGTCTACAGGAACGTTTCCTCATGTATTGAAAAGGGCACTAATTCGTCCTATACATAAAAATGGAGATAAAAACTGTGTCAATAATTATCGCCCCATTGCTATACTACCTTCAATCTCTAAGATCTTAGAAAGACTTATCTACAACAGACTTGTGGAATACCTAGAGAAAAACAGACTTCTAGCAGACACCCAATATGGCTTTAGATCTAACAGGTCAACAGACGACGCAGTACACCAAGTCACTGATTACATTATAAGACAACTTGACGCTCAAAAAAAGTGCTTAGTCATTTTCCTGGACCTTGCTAAAGCTTTCGATACAGTCTCGCAAAACATACTTCTCGAGAAGGTATACGAACTGGGAATAAGAGGAATTTCGCATAAACTCATTAAAGATTATCTTTCAAACAGGACACAACGTGTCATGGTAGATGATGCAGTTAGTGACGAACTCACTGTCGAATTTGGTGTCCCACAAGGAAGTATATTGGGTCCCTTATTATTCCTCACATATATCAATGAATTATGCCAACTTCCTCTTGCCGGAAACGCAAAGATAATATCCTATGCTGATGACACCGCACTACTTATTAGCGCAGACACCTGGGAAGAAACATTCAAATTAGCTCAAACGGGTTTCAATTTGGTCACCGAGTGGCTTAGAAATAACTTACTAACACTCAACATCGACAAAACAAAATATATGACATTTTCCTTTAATTCAATATCCCAACCCATTCCAGACACACATACCATAACAGCTCATCTGTGCCCGGACCGTACTGACTCCTGTACATGCCCTAAGCTCCGTAGCACAGATAATATGAAGTACCTAGGTGTCATTATCGATAAACACTTAAATTTTAAAACGCACATCGAGTCACTTACAGCTAGAGTGAGAAAATTGATTTATGTTTTTAAGAATCTCCGACACGTCGCAAGCGGCTATCTTCTTAAATCGATATATTTAACTCTATGTCAGTCATTATTAACGTACTGCATAACTTCATGGGGAGGTACTCATAAAACCACAATGCTTAGTCTAGAGAGAGCACAAAGAGCCGTTCTAAAAGTCAGCACTTTCCGACCTATACGCTTTCCGACTGCAGAGCTCCTTGCTGAATGCGACGTTCTTTCGGTGCGGCAGCTCTTCATCCTACTCGTAATAAAGTCCTTAAGCCGTGGATAACTCCTGGACTCCTACGTTGTATAAGACACCGCGATAAACTCCACATACAATCCAGACAAAATCCCGAAAATGAAAATCATAAAGTAATCTACTACAGATACCGGAATTTTTGTAATAATTTACTAAAAAAGTTAAAACGGCAATATGAAAAGACTCAAATCTATAATGCAGGTCATGACAAAAAGAAATTGTGGAAAGTCATCAAAAACATTACTAATACAACTAAAAATAAATCGTCCGCTCAGCAACTCATCGCTAATTCTGCTTCTGCTGCACATTCCATTGATAGTGTAAACGGTTTCTTTGTCAATATTGGCAAAAATTTAGCGGAAAAAGCTAAAAACAGTCTCACTCAACCTATTTCCTACACCAAGTATCTTCCTAAATTACCTGTTTTAAACTCATTTGCCCTACTTGACACTGACGAAGCCGAAGTTGAACAACTCATCATGTCTCTAAGAAATGACTGTGCCACAGGAATTGATAGCATATCTTGCTCATTTCTTAAACAGTTCAAAAAGCATCTTATTCCTCCGCTTACATATATTTTCAATAAATGTCTGTCTACAGGAACGTTTCCTCATGTATTGAAAAGGGCACTAATTCGTCCTATACATAAAAATGGAGATAAAAACTGTGTCAATAATTATCGCCCCATTGCTATACTACCTTCAATCTCTAAGATCTTAGAAAGACTTATCTACAACAGACTTGTGGAATACCTAGAGAAAAACAGACTTCTAGCAGACACCCAATATGGCTTTAGATCTAACAGGTCAACAGACGACGCAGTACACCAAGTCACTGACTACATTATAAGACAACTTGACGCTCAAAAAAAGTGCTTAGTCATTTTCCTGGACCTTGCTAAAGCTTTCGATACAGTCTCGCAAAACATACTTCTCGAGAAGGTATACGAACTGGGAATAAGAGGAATTTCGCATAAACTCATTAAAGATTATCTTTCAAACAGGACACAACGTGTCATGGTAGATGATGCAGTTAGTGACGAACTAACTGTCGAATATGGTGTTCCACAAGGAAGTATATTGGGTCCTTTATTATTCCTCACATATATCAATGAATTATGCCAACTTCCTCTTTCCGGAAACGCAAAGATAATATCCTATGCTGATGACACCGCACTACTTATTAGCGCAGACACCTGGGAAGAAACATTCAAAATAGCTCAAACGGGTTTCAATCTGGTCACCGAGTGGCTTAGAAATAACTTACTAACACTCAACATCGACAAAACAAAATATATGACATTTTCCTTCAATTCAATATCCCAACCCATTCCTGACACACATACCATAACAGCTCATCTGTGCCCGGACCGTACTGACTCCTGTACATGCCCTAAGCTCCGTAGCACAGATAATATGAAGTACCTAGGTGTCATTATCGACAAACACTTAAATTTTAAAACGCACATCGAGTCACTAACAGCTAGAGTGAGAAAACTGATTTATGNCCGCAGACCAACCCCCCCCCCCTAATTTAGAATGACGTAATATATGGACGGCCCCTAAAAAGGTCGCAACGTTCTTAGTAATAAATTCACTGCATCAGGTTTTAGTACTTAGTCTTGACGAAAATCCTCCAAAGACTTAATTGATTTCCTTGTTTAGCACTAGCAATAAGAGGGCTTCTAAAGATCTTAGACTAAGAACTTATTGGAAAATTAAAAAGATGAAAAAAGATTCTATTAACTATAATAGGTATAACTTTCTTGGGAGTAACAAGACTCAAACTAAACGTTCCAAGAAAATAAGTTCAGATACATTCACCGGGAGAAGAATAAGCTAATAAAATAGTAAGAGAGACACATAACGAAAAACTCACTGTTTGTCTTCAACAAAACAAAAAATAAGTAATATTACAAAAAAAAAATATGAGAGAATACTCTGGAACAAAACAACCAGAGTTTATAAAAACTACAGATACTTATTTAAAAAAAATATTGCGTGTGCATCATGACAGTGACCCCGCGCTTTTGATGCTATGTGATGAATTGTATTTAAAATAAGGCAGTAAGTGTGAAAGTTGAGTAATCAGTGTTTTATTTATGAGAATAGATCGACCGGCCTCTAATAATATGGAATGGTAAAAAATTGTTGTCATAATTTAACTGGTATGAGTTACCAAGCTTTATATCGCCTATCTTGATCTATTTATCTTTTTATTATCATTCCACCGTTAGGCATCCATATAGTCAAAACACATAATCGGTCAAAACCACTTTTGACTGCAAAAATCAGTCAAAATTGGTTTTTTACCGATGCCTTTGGTCAATATCACTTTTGACTGATTTTTTCAGTCAAAATTGGTTTTGACCAAGAGCATTAGTCAAAACCACTTTTGAGTGCAAAACATTTTATTTAACCGGTCAAACAAATTAATTAT